GAGAGAGAGAGAGAGAGAGAGAGAGAGAGAGAGAGCAGGGCGGCCATGGACAAACTAGCTACATTTTTCTTCTTTTTTTTCCTCTCTCTTTGAAAGGGAGATATCATATCGGAACTGACCGAATTTAGATGACCGAGCGTTCTATTCGGCTGAAGACGGAAGCGCTGTTCTAGGACTGAATTTTTGTTAAATCATCTCTGTGCTGGCTGATATAAAGAAGGGTTAAATCAGCCAGCACGTTGGATGGCTGCGAGGAGCAGAGGGGTATAAAGAGGGGTTGGATCGAGGCCCATTAACTGATATGGCGGCAAAAAAGTCTGTGACATGCACCAGCTCATCGAACCACTCACAAAAAGACTGAATTTTTCGAACCTGAGGAAATTTTCAAAACTGAGGAGTTTGTCACAAATTAAAGTATTTGTCACGATTGTCACAAAGTAACCTTTCTGGTTTTTTTTTTTTTTTTTTTTTTTTTTTTGGGGGGGGGGGGGGAAGTAGACGATTATTTGTCACCACACTAAGGGGATTTGTCACAATTACAGTAAGTACTTTTTCGGCGGCAATCCCAACCGCCCATGCAGTAATTGTATTGGCCTCGCTCCATTACACAACACTTGACATGCATTTGGACGTTTTCTGGACCCAGTGCATTCTAAATGTTGGACATTTTCGAATGCACCCCTGCCCATACAGTAAGTGTATGTTTTAAGAAAGCATCTTGTAATATTTTGCTCTAGGGAGCTTCTGACTTAGTTTTTTTTTTTTTTTTCCAAAATATATTATTGTCGTACTTATCGAGAATCTCGACTGCATATACTTTGGGTACTTTAAATACAAACCAGACTTTGATTACAGATGGAAATAGATGAATGGAATTTCACAGTGTTAGTGAATGCTTTGATGAGAAAGCATCTTGTAAATTTTGGATGTTGACAGGCTCTGGATTGGATTTTTTTTTTTGGACATTTCTCGATTTATGTGTGTCATCCTTGCGCAGGGGCCATTTGCTAATTTACCCTTCTCTCTATCGTTCCAATTTTAACGGATCTCCCGAAGGCCGGCTCTGACTTTGGTACTATTATTGTTCTAATAATTCTTTGAGAATCTCGACTGCATATACCGTACTTTGTAATACAGACCAGAGTTCGAATCCAGATGGAAATAGATGAATGCAATTCCTTAATTTCCTGGGACCCGTGAGTTTCATGACGATCTCTTTCAAGGCCGTGACCCTTTGAAAAAAAAAAAAGAAGAGAGGAAAATAATCTAATCTGCGTTCTGCAGTTCAATTAGAAAATGTGAATTGGAGCCTTAAAGCACGGTATATGCAAGGTTGACTGTCAAGACTGTCCAAGACTGTCAAGACTGTCAAGTTTGAACTCAAGTTTGACTCAAGTTTGAACTCAAGTTTGAACTCAAGTTTGAACTCAAGACTGTCAAGACTGTCAAGACTGTCAAGTTTGAACTCAAGTTTGAACCCAAGGTT